TATATATAGAAAAAAAGACATTTTTATCCCTAGTGCTTATGACTTATAATTATTAGAGAGAGAGAGAGAGAGAGAGAGAGAGAGAGGGAGAGAGAGAGAGAGAGAGAGAGAGAGAGAGAGAGAGAGAGAGGGGGGGGGGAGAAGGGGGGAATACTGTTTCAATGTTCATTCTTTCAAAAAGTGTAGGTCTCCTTACATGAATGATAATGTGTACACGTGTGTGTCTGTGTGTGTGTGTGTGTGTGTGTGTGTGTGTGTGTGTGTGTGTGTGAGTGTGTGTGAGGGGTGAGTGTGTGTGTGTGTGAGTGTGTGTGTGTGTGGGGAGAGTGTGTGTGTGTGTGTGTGTGTGTGTGTGTGTGTGTGTGTGTGTGTGTGTGTGTGTGAGTGTGTGTTTGTGTACGGCAAGAGGTAAGTAAGGTATAAGTGCCGAAGATTAGCTCTTTCGTCGTATCCGATACACACGTCCGATCAGCAGGAGATCAGAGTCAATAAATCTGCACATATTCAATCATTATGCTTGTACACAAATCAGAAACATAAATTTGCATATTTTATACCATGCATATTGTTCCCTGCCTTTTTAAGTTTCAGATATAATGTAAAATATTTGCAGGAATTAATAAGGACGTTATGCTTCTTCGTTTTTTAAGTACCCAAAGCAGCAAGTCTTCAAATTCAAACGTGCAGAACGCGTGTCCTCAATGAGTTAGAGGTGTTACAATTACAAGAGAGTAACAAACACGAAAAGAAGGAGGGGAGATGAGGGCTATAGATGTTTGTGATAGGAAAGAAGAAGCAACGAACCACACCAGAGCACCCGCCAACGACCCACGAGGGTGGCCTACCATTAGGGGGGCCTAATACCAGTGGCAAAAATACACACCGTCATACTCATACTTGTGCCAATGACATTAGAGTTTTTAGTTTAGCTTTATTTTACGGCACTTGCAAAATAATAAGGTCATACAAGTACAAGTGGCGAAGATTAGAGATGTTACACTTAAGAGAGTAACAAACACGAAAAGAAGCAGGAGAGATCAGGACTATAGATGTTTGATAGGAAAAAAGAAGCAAACCACACCAGAGAACCCAGACATTAGAATTATAACGCCTCACGAGGCACAGCTGAGGACATTTTACTTTTACAAATTAATCAGAGCACCTGATTGAGAGGACACATTCCAGGTAGGATAAGAAGAAGAAGAATTCGGTTCCCTCTCAGATTTGAACCCGAAATGCCCTGTGACAGACCTAGAGTGGAACTACTGTAAGGAACCGCTCACAAATATCACGTCAGCGTAAATTTGGCCTAAAATGTCACCCCCTCACCCTTTGTCATCTGTTCAGGAGACCCTCCTCACCCCTCCAACTAGCTGACGTCAGCCAAAGTGTAACATGTCATAATACATTGTATTAGATAAAGGCAGAAGCATGCCTTAAATAGAACCTGTCCTAGTTTTAGGCCAACAAAATAATATTATGATGCATTTAATTTTTTAAAAATTTAATATGATTCTTAAATATGTCTTAATCATTTAAAATTGAAAAACATGACTTGATATTAAATAATAGTGATATATATATATATATATATATATATATATATATATATATATATATATATATTATTTTATTAAAATTGTAAGAAAGTACAGTCCAAATGTCCCGTGGAATAACCCTGGAGACATAGGCCTTGGAATCAGATACATTGCGTGTACATGTACTCCGTCAGGCTTTGGGCCACCTTAGACCTATGCAGACTTGAGTGCGAGTCCTCACAATATAAAAAACTCTCTGATGCCCACCAGCTTTTGGGTCATTGGGCTGACACCTGGCGACTATGGGTGTGTCAGTCTGTGAGTGTGTATGTGTAAGTGTGTGCATGTCTATTTGATTATGTGTGTGTGTCCCCCCCCCCAAATAGACCCACCTCTTCGTGGTTGGGGGGGGGGGGGGATTAGTACTCTTCGAATAGGAAAAGAAAAAGAGGAAGCTAACGGGTCCTGGGGTGACCCCGAAAAGAGACATATTATTATATTACTTTATATGTTTCTTACTCTTTCTATTTATTGTTTTTATTGTTTTACTTTATTACATTTATTAACTTCTCTTTTCTCCTCTCTCCGTCGACAACCTTTCTTTGACCCGGAGTTGGGACGGATATTGGTGGGGTGGAAAGCAGAGGTTCATTGTCAGAACTGTACTGGATGTGACTTTACGTAGGGAATACCCAGCTACATACACGTATTAAGCATGCACTTATCGGAGAGCCCTATGACTGCGGAGAAGGTGCAGAGACCATTTGCGTCTTGCTTGTTGACAACATTAACCCTCTGGGATCTGCCATGCCTTCCCCTGCCCCCATCTCTCGGATGAGAGGACTTGGTTGCTCTGGGAGGGGGGGATCTAGCTTCCAATTGGTATTATTACTACTACTAGAATTATTATTATTATATTACAATTTTTGCATTTCAGCAACACACAGCAACTATGCTCTTAATAGCGTCTTTCTCTTCTTTATCTCCTCAAACAACTCCTCAATATAGTAGAGCAGACACCAACATACCCATTCATTTTTCTTACGATCTCTCTGTGATGGAGTTGGGTTTTTGTTTGTGGCATTGCACCTACAGCCACTGCTTTATCTCCTACCCCGGGATGGAAAGAAAATCACAGAACCACCAATTTTAGATGCTATTCACAAATGATAGAATGTGTGTGTGTGTGTGTGTGTGTGTGTGAGAGAGAGAGAGAGAGAGAGAGAGAGAGAGAGAGAGAGAGAGAGAGAGAGAATGTGTGCACCCCTGGTGCCAAAGATTAGAGGTGTCACTAGATAGTGTTATACAAAGAAAAGGAGGGGGAGAAATAAGGACTATAGATGTTTGATAGGAAAGAAGGAGCAAACCACACCAGACACCCACCAATCACTCACCAAGTGTGAGGGTACACACAAACAAAAACTCAAAAAAGAGAGCCAATCAAGAGCCACAAATTTAATCCAATCACAGTTTTCTTCATCAGTTCCTACTTTCTTTGGTGCAACTGTAATGGCATCCATATAACATTTATACATTTATGACTGATTTTTTCAAGGACATACACAATTTGAAAACCTAAGATTCCGGCACATCTTGTTCAAGAACTGACATATGATATTCACCCCAAAAAAATTTAAAAAAATAAATACTCATAACAAAATCAAAACAGCAGTGGAGTCCACTTAAACCAAAATCTGCTGAACAGTTGGTCTTGCTATCGTTTTAAACAGATAGATCAAATAGAACCCCCCCCCCCCACCAAAAAACGTCTGGAATTTTATTTTCATTCCGTGTACTGCTGTTTTCGGATTGACTGAGTTTGCTTTAAGTGGATTCCACTGTATTTTTTAAGTAGATAGAGCTTTGTACATAAATATCACAGACTAAAAGATTGCCAGAATGGACGGAATATGAATTAAATCGGCAAAACTTGAGGCAAAAGACCGCGTGTTCTAATTTCATCCGAGCACTCACATTTATCTGAACAACATCTTACAAAATGGCAAAAGATGAAACTTATAGTAGTAATGTCCATAACATTTTATAAAATCACCGAATCGCGCCTGTAGACTGATAGGGTTCAAACTCCACTTTTTGCAAGAACTGAGATTGAGTAGAAAGAGAAGCACAATAGTGGTAATTTATTGCTGGGAAAAAGTAAGAAAGACAGAAAGAAACAACAGATGGAAAGTAAAGGAGCAGGAGCTACCAGTGGAACCCTCAAACCACCCGTGCAACTGAGTTACACACTACACATTACTGACACAGATACAGACGCCCTGTCAAAGGCTTGAGACAATCTGATCCGTATTTTTGTTTTTAGTTCGGCGCTTAACAAAGAAGATCTAAAATCCCATTTTCTTAAAACTGAGTAATGGAGTTAAAACCCTGCCATTCTAAGAGTAGTAAGAGCACACAATTCTCTGCATTCAATAAATTCAAGCTATTCAAAGCAGACATGCAGCAAAAAAACAACTCTCCTGTTGACTTTTAGTCTTCGCTTTCATTATCATTCATAACTTGGTTTTGAAAATCATAAATCTTTTATTTTTTCTGCATCAGCAAGTCTGAGACTAGCATTACTAAAAAAACAGAGAATGCACATTTTCCTAATATAAAAAAACAGACTTCGGTACTCAATCCCCAAAAATGTATCAAATACATTGTTTGGTACTATTTAGCAGCTATGCGACAGTACTAACAACAATAAATGAAAGCATATATAACAATTGTAGAATGACACGAGAGGTTACGGATATAGGTTATACAGAACCCCCACTTCATTTTGACATTCATCCAAGTCTCACTTTCAACACACAGAAAAAACTTCCCTTGTAATCTACAAAATCATGGAGCTTTTGCAAACAATTGTAAAAGTACAAATCATATTATTCATATACACAACCAGTTCTTCATGTACATAACCAGATCTTCAAAGCATCTCAGATCACCCGAGTCTCAATAGATGAAGTAGCATGTCAAAGTTCCTTTGAAAAAAAAAAAAATCAAGTGTGGTGTCGAGTTTGCTGAGGTGCACCCATTGGTCCTAGTCTCATCCCCCATCTTAAAACAAAGAAATGGACATTCTGTACTAAAATTAAGATAGGGTCTTGAGTACAACAAAAGTTTATTTTTTGCTTCTCCTGAGAAACTTGTATTCCGACATACTACTAAGTTCAGTGACAGCGGTGAGATGCCTGTGTGCCTGAAGAAAGGTACCAAAAGTCGGATTTTGATCATTTTGAAATTTAAGGGTTGTACCTTATAGGAAATTCTGTGCTTAACACAGTGATTTTGAATTTTTGAGAAAATGAGCTTTTACGGTTGACAAACTTGAGAACACATATAAACTTGAA